TTTGAATTATCAAACATTACAGATTTTAATATACAAAAATAAAAAAGGTTCTTTTTCTTATAATTGAATCGAAATATAATGACACACTACCATGTACATGTATTCTGATGGAATGTATTTTTTTCTTTGCCAAACATTCAGTATATAGCCCAAGAAAATGAAAATTGTTGATACAGAGAAAAATTATCTCCCCTTGAAAGAGATTGTTATACATTACATGTATTTTCTTCCTTTGCAAATATGCTATGTTGCAACCACTATTGAAATAACGTTCACTATTGAAAAAACCTATAGTCCCCTCCGGTTTCACCGGTAGGGGACTAATAATTATTTCAATAGTGGTTGAGAGTGCCTTTCAAAATCAAAAACAGGTTGTAACCACTATTGAAACAACGTTCACTATTGAAATAATTATTTCAATAGTGGTTGAGAATGCATTTCAAAACCAAACTCAGGTTGTAACCATTATTGAAATAACGTTCACTATTGAAATAATTATTTCAGTAGTAGGTGAACGTGCATTTCAAAACCAAACACAGATTGCAACCACTATTGAAATAACGTTCACTATTGAAACAATGATTTCAATAGAGGTTTTGAATGCATTTCTGCAACCACTATTGAAATAATGTTCACTATTGAAATAAAAATTTCAATAGTGATTGAAATAAAGATTTAATAGTGATTGAAATAAAGATTTCAGTAATGATTGAAATAATTATTTTAATAGTTGCTGGCAATGATTTCAGTACCAAAACCACACTGCAAGCCTTACTGAAATAACCCCACTATTGAAAAAAATATAAGCCAGGATAAATTGTTCATTACGTTGTCCAACATAATATATTATATGTATTGAGTTTAATATATAAATTTATGTATTCTTTTCTTTTCTATAAATTACCATTAATACACGGACATTTTTGGTTTAACTGACGTACCTTAAATTCAAACAAAGCATGCAAATGTTATATGCAATCTTCCGCTGAATCTGGCCGACTCGGCGAAAACAAACAGACAATCAATCAATATATGCAAGTTTTAAGTAATTTTGGTAAATATTGTTTATTTTTGCCACTAATTTAAAGGAAAGGATCATAAATACACATAATTGAAGAATTTAGAATATCTACATTAAAAAGAAGAAGACTGACATCTATGTGCACAAACTTTCTGATGAAAATATGGCTATTATGAAAATAAGAATATGCAATAGAGGTAAATTCTCGCATATATTCATGGGCTTGCCTACACTACAAATATGGATAGTAAATCCAATGCCTACTCCTCAAGACATTAAAAAGCAAAACTTAAAGGGAAATTAATATAAGCATTACATCGTTTACAATAGTGGGTGTTATTTCAACAGTGATCACACATATAAAACTGCTATTAAAATAATGACTACTGTTGAAATCATTATTTCATTAGTGATCGTTATTTCAATAGTGGTTGCATTAATACTACCGATATTGAAATATGTACTATTGAAATATTTCTTTCAATAGTCACTATTTCAATAGTGGTTGCCACAATATACCCACTATTGAAATAATGATCACTACTGAAATAATTATTTTCATAGTTGATATTATTTAAACAGCGGTTTTATACGTGTAACCACTACTGAAATAACAACCTCTTATGTTATAATGCTTATACTTAGTTTTCCCGAATAGTTGATTTTAATGTATATATAAGTGAGAATTTACTTCAATTCTATATCCTATTGATTAAAAATAACCATATTTTCATCAGAAAATTTGTACACATAGATGTCACATAGATTTCTTCTTTCTTTTTTTAAGTGAATATATTCTAATTTCTAAAACTTTCTGTTTTTATAAACTTTTACTTTCCGCAATTAATAGCAATGATGAACCTTAAATAACAAAATTACTTAAGAATTACTAGATCACTTAAATCACAGATATCCGTATATCATTAGTATATCTAGACAGAAATTAAAACTTAAAATTACATATCATATTTTAAACTCAATAAATTAATCCATTATGTTGGGAAACATAATGAAGAATTTATCTTTATATTTTTTTTCAAGAGCAGGATTATTTCAATAAGGCTTGCAATGTGGTTTGGGTATTGAAATCATTGTCAGCAACTAATGAAATCATTATTTCAATCACAATTGAAATCTTTATTTCAATCACTTTTGAAATCATTGTTTCAATAGTGAACGTTATTTCAATAGTGGTTGCAACCTATGTTTGGTTTTGAAATGCACGTTCACCTACTATTGAAATAATTACCGGTATTTCAATTTAAAGTTATTTCAATAATGGTAATAACCTGAGTTTGGTTTTGAAATGAACTATCAACCACTATTGAAATAATTATTTCAATAGTGGTTACAACCTGTGTTTGGTTTTGAAATGCACTCTCAACCACTATTGAAATAATTATTTCAATAGTGAACGTTATTTCAATAGTGGTTGCAACAATGCTACATACTTTATACAGAAAATTACACTCTAATATAGTTTTTGTACATCTTATTAGTAAGCAATGAAAAGGGTCTTATTGACATGTTTTATTAAATACATATATTATGCATTAATTAGCAAATTTTGAGCTACTGAATTTCTTTTTTCTGCAACAAAAGAAATTTCAAAATTTTCTTTGAAAATTAACATAAAGCAATTATAAGCTTATATTGGTCTTTCAATGATGAATCATATGTCAAAAGAAATATTTTAAACACACACTTTTGGCATGGTATTCCACCTTAAACTGATGGCAGCCAGGTATTATTTGTATCACTCACCTGAGCTTTTGCTTTCTCTTCCTCTTTCTCTTTTTTCTTTCTTTCCTCTTCTAATGCTTCTTGTTTTATCTGAAATTAAAATCTCATTGAGCTCAGAAAAACACGTTGTTTTGCCGAGAAGTTACGATTCCAGGTGTTATATATTAACCATTCCGTTATTTGAAAGAGACAGAGAAAAAAAAAACCCACACGCACACAGAATCATTACTTTTTTGGTTTTTAAATTGATCGAGTTAATCAATAACCTCGCATCGTTTTAGATAACTTGAGACCCTCTAGTGCCGAGACCCTCTAGTGCTCCAGTACAGGGTCGGATTCAGCAGTTTTTGAAAAGGGGGAGGGGGGGTTCTAGGTCACATTGCAGGCACTTATATTCAAGTCCGTAGCAACGGTTTTCAAAGGGGGCAAAACTCCAAAAAGAGTTGACAAGCAACAATAAATAAATAAATTAAAATAATAACCTGTGTACCACACTGTAAAATCCTATTTCGGGGGGAGGGGGCTTCGTCTAAACTTTTCGGTACATTTTGATTACTTTTAAATGTGTGTCCGTATTTTGAACCTTCCCGCAACAAAAAGTGCGGGGGAGCTTCCAATGCAAATCAAAACTTATATATTCAAATTATAACAAAAGATTTTTTTAAGAAAAAGTGAGCCCCCCTCCCTAACATACTACGGGGACATTTTGAACCTTTCTCTTTTTTGATTAAAATATCCCCAAAATATAAGGAGAAAAAAAGTACAAGGAGAAAAGCAATTAGCAAATCTCTATCTAGAGAGCAGAAAGTGCAGAAATTGAAGTATTTATTTTATTGAACATACTCGACGTAAAAATATCTATATTACAGAAAAACTCTCTCTCTCTCTCTCTCTCTGCAAAAATAAATGGGGTTACAACATCCGACCCCCCCTTTCCTTGATCCGCCAACAGAGTTAAAATTCAACCATTACGACACCTGCACGCTTAGGGCTCTTTTAATTCTGTTGTTAATTTTAAAGGCTACTTTACCAGTGTCTACAATTGTGAGCTAGCTCAACATTTCACAATCTAACCATAAAATTAGATGTTCCGAATCCGCTACCGCTTCTTTTGAGAATTAGATTGAACATTTCATATTCACATAATTTCAATGTCATGGTTTTTTTTTTATCATTACAGCCTAATTAAGCAGACTTAAATAGAGATGAAAATTACTAAATACATGTAAAAAAAAATGAATTTAATTACACCTTTGTAAAATCACTAAATCTAGAATTTTTCTTTGAATTTCGTGTAGAAACACATGCATATGGTCTACGTATTGCAGTCCTTTTTTAAAGGACAGTAACTTGTTTTCCCTCATTATACCAGCCACTTTTTGATTGCAAGAAATATAACTGTCATTGGCCAGAGGGGGGAATACCGATCTGCCAGGGGTATGTAAAGGCAGAGCTGTGAAAAAACTTAGGGTTTTCTATTGTTTACCTGTGCTGCGGGTGAAGGGGTAGTCATCATGCCAGACTACGTAAGTGAGCGATCTAAGTTGTGTACACTTAATTAAGCTTCATGAATTAATAAAATATCAAGCAACTATCGAATTAGTAAAATATCAAATACATGTATGGCACGCCATGTTGCGTCATACTTTTAAATAGATATTAGCGGTCTTAGAATTGGACACTAAAAAAGACAAAAGAAAATCAATAATGTTTATTTAAATATATAATTGATGATTAAAAAAACACATTTTTTTCACAGAAATGTTCTAATTACTTAATTACTTTTCACTCAAGTACAATCAAATTTATTAATGACGTAAGCGATAGGCATGTACTTTATGTAAGGTGATGGGATTTTGTTGCAAATGATTAATAAAAGTACTTTTCCATATTTTTTCTGTTCTTAATTCAGAATTAATCTTTTAAAAAATCAATAGGTGTGTCGAAATTATCCAATTATTAAAAGAATAATTCACTTGAATTTTTAGACCTTGGGTAAACATTGGGTACCTGCTGATAATTAATATAATCACATGTTGACCAATAATCTTACACATTGTATTAAGGTTAAATTGAATAATACGACAGGGTATAATATATTGTACTTAAGTACTCCACCATGATGTAAATGGTGAACAGAACATAAGACGAAGGTATTCAGTCTGTATTACGTTCCCTGAAATCCATACCAACGGTTAATTAAACTAGTTGTTAAAGAGATTGCTTATCAGAGGTTTCAGGTTTCATTTTGGGAATGATAGGAAATGTACAGCATGAAGAAGACGGTAACAGTTACAAATAGGAACGTGTAAAAAAGGACAAAAAAATTATCTAACATTAAAGAAATTGTTTTATAATTGGCACAAGAAGTCTGTCTTTTTTCTTGAAATTCATCCATATCAAATTCCTCAGCTATGATATCTATCTCAGTTGACCGACAATTACTCGTCAGTGTTCTATGTACAAACCAGACAAACATCCTTGATAGAGGTGACTTCGGTTTCTCGCCATTTTCAGTAAAATGAATATCAACGACAATGATTACGCTGAACGTAATCAAAGTACTGTAAGTCAAAACAATGAGCATATAGATAGAAAATAATGACACAGTTATACTGGACTTCGGGGTGTTGCCCGTCACCAAGGTCAGGAAAACAGCAAAAGACAACAAAACTGTTAAAGAAAACGATATCCTCTCGCCTGATTCTACTGGTAAAATAAACACGCCAAGATTTACAATCGCTAAAAACACAATTGGCGCGAAAATGTTCATCAATAAAAACGAGTGTCTCCTTTGCAGTCTAATTGCTATCCTGAACACAGAAGTTTCAAAATGTTCATCATTGTCTGCTGAAGTGTTAAAACTTAAAAGTTTCCAGAGTGGATTTTCTTCGTAAACCTTGTCTATCACTCCATTTGCAACAAAGTATACTTCGTGTATCGACGACAAAGGGATGATATCGATGTAACAAGTGTGTATATCGAATGGGAAGTATCTAGAATTCGGAGAACACAGAGTTGAAGATCTGACACCGAGAATATAAAGGGCGGTTCCATCATAAGAATATACCACACTGTTAGACTCAAGTGTATCCAGCGCAAAAGTATCGAAAGCATTAGAACTGAACAACCGGGGTCGCCACATGGAGGATGGAGGAAGGCGGATATAGGTTATATTTGGATAGGATATCGGATCCCAGGTTATGATTTCGTCTTTCCACGTAATGTCAAGTCCAAAGGAAGCGGCAAGAATCCCACTCATTTCGTCAAAGTAAATGATAGATCTAGGAATGATATCGATAGAAACCCTGACTGGGTTCTGTTGATTCCAGACAGGTCTGATATCCTTCCTATAATTTTTCAGAAGCTTATCATGAAGAGACATAAAAAGTTTGTACGAGGATGTACTACTATCATCACCAAGTATTGGCTGTACTGTCAATATAACACCGAGAAGCACCAGCGTCGTGAAAATATTCATTTTCGGCAATATTTTCTGATGAAAGATGTTCAAGTTGTACTCACTTGTTTACTAGAAAGATCTTTACTTGTATATCAGATGCATGCAATGGACTAAAGATGTCGGTCGTAGAAAGACATTCTTGATTTTATCGTCAGTATGTTCCCATTCAACACATATATGATGCAACTGATCGATTAATGTAATTGAAATTGTCACATTTTTTTGGTTTGTAATTTTCATTAACACAACAACTCTACCTGGAATCTCTTTATATCCCTCTTGTAAATACTAATCATTGGTTTTGTTTGAATCTGACGATGTTCAGTAAATGTAGTGCACCGAGTAAATTTTAGATGATGTTGATAACCTTCTTCTGATCAAATGAAATCATTTGCATCATCAAGGACGTAGATACTGCGTGCGAGAATCAATTTGAACATGATATTCCTTGGTTTATTTTTTCTCTCTCCATCCAGATAACTTGATATGTTGACTTAGCAAATGAATGTCCATGTATTGTAATTTAGAAATTATTTAGAATACCAAATTATGATTGGTTTGTAGTGCTTGGTGACCATTTACAGTTGGTGAATGCATTCAGGATAACAAATATTGGTATCTTTCTTATTTTTTTTTTTCAAAGTAACAGAGACAGATAATTTATTTTTTCGTGAAGAAACACTGCTATTTAGACCTTTATTTAATTGTATGTTTACTTATTTATGATATAAAAACTGGAAGTTATAATATATTTGATACGGAAAATAGATAAACAATTTGTTATTATAATAAGAAAAAAATGCACACTTGAGCGACTAATAGTATGCTTAGACTGCAATAATTACAATTATAAAAAAAAAAAAAAAAAAAAAAACACTTCTTGTTATCTTCACCTTTTTTTTATGAATGATCGGGTTAAAATTTCTAAAAGAGGTTTATTATCAAATGATTACAAGAACTATGCATTCAGGAACTATACAACAATTCGTCTTTCAAATTATTTGTCTAATTACACAGTATTTCTATTTTTAGAAACAACATCAACATCGTGTGCCATAATGAAAAAAAAAACGATAAAAAGAATTGTGTATCTTAGTATAGTCTACTACGACGGTACTTGCGTACTTAGTTTTATTCAAATAGAACAAAAACTGTAGGAGAAGTAGCGTTTTAAAAAATTGTTTACAGACATACATGTACGGATGGACAGACAGCTTGACAGACGGACGGACGACGGACACCTTACTAATGCATAAGCTTTTCTGGTCTGTGACCAGTAGAGCTAAAAATACGGCAGTAATATTCTGTTTTTGATTAGTCAGAATTAACACAATGATTTTTTTTTAATAAGTAAGAAAAAAAAAAGAATATCATGAAACATTCCCGAGATCTCAAGAGCCATAACTAATTTTAAATTCATTCTGCAATGTCATCATCATTGGAACTATAAATTGATATACCGGTACAATTTTTGTTTATGAAAATGTTTCTTATAGTAATTTATTAATTTAGAATAATCTGACACAAGATTACCATGACAACTGGGAAGGATACACATTGGAGGCAGTTATTTTAATATCATTCACGCCTGATTAGAGAAATGCCGTAGGCCTACTGGAATCTGGTTAGTCTCTATTAAGAAAATTAATTCAATGGCGTTCGTGAATACACTAGATGATCAACATTCAGGATTTTAAAATTGTACTGTATTTGAAATAAATCTGTAAATGAAACTGCTTTCAGATATAAATATTTTAATTTTTTCCGACTTATAAAATACAGATTTTGCAACCGATTACCATTGCTCCGTCCAAGTAAACAAATAACCAGTTACTGATTGCAATCCATATTTTTTTTTTGTACCCAAGGGTTCATCATATCACAGATTAGTCGCAATCATAATACAGACAGGACTACTGACTCCGACATATAACTGGTAATCTATGTATCACCTTCTGAGTTGGTGTTCTCTGAGGTGTAAATCATAAGTCAACTGTATCTTCTTACAAAATGAAAACATTTTAACTTGGAAAATGTTTAATACGCAACTGTAAATGATGTTATAAACAATTTGTATCACAGATTGCCAATATGATCCATCAGGTATCAACAATTACAACAATGTTAGAAATTTTCATGTACACAAATGAAAAATCCATTATGTCTTAATGTACTCTTGACAAATTTCAGGGTTTCAAAAGGCATAGCGAGTAACAAATGTACATCATAGGAACCCTCTGGCATTGTGCGCTTCTGGGACCAAACAATGGAAGTAGACGCACGAGTGAGAATGTAATTCTTCACAGTGACTAATGAGCAATAACCCAGAATAGGTTTCTAATAATCTGTAGTTGTTCACTGATACTTAATACTGAATCCTAAGATCCAGATTCATGAATGCCAGGACGAATTTCATCTTCTGTTTATTTTTTCTTCGCAGTTGCATCTTGAGCTGCTTTCTTTGCTTTCACCATTTCCACAAGTTCCTATTCAAAGATATTAATTACATAATTCCCTTTAATTTTAATACATACATGTAAATATTAGACTCTTTATCCATACTTTTTCTGTGTTTTCTGCTTAAAGTTTTGTGGAAATTGTCAATTTCACTTAATTGTCTTACTATATAGAAAGTGATAATACACTGCACTAATAACTTTTAAGATCATAAAAGTAAATTTGATGTCCATCCAAAAACCAGATTCTGTAAACCAACTATTATTTGTGTATTCTTTTATTCACGATTCGTTGGTTTGAAATCAATCCACAACGATTATTTTTTGCAACTGAGAAATTATTCTATCCAAATACAAAGCAAAATAAATGGTTCACGGCGATAAAAGTAGGTCGCGAAACTAGCGAATATTTCTCGCACGTGAATAAAAGTTGGTTTACAGTATACTGAAGCTGAATTTTAAAAACAGTTTCCCCTGCAATATTTTAACTGTATTAAATATACAGTATCTGTAAGTCAATTTCCCTTTATTTACCTTGTAGCGTTTCATGCAGTCCTTTTTGCTGCGACTTGAGATACACTCACTGATCCTGTCCCATCTGTCTGGGGTACTGGCGGGGAACGTCTTCAGGGCCTGCTCCAGGTGTTTCTGTTCCTCCGGTGACCAGGGGGCGGGGTTTGTTCCTGCCTCTCTCACCTGCTGTTCCCCTATACCTGTACATTAGATGACATTCAATTAATACATCAGTATTGCAAATTCTATTCAGTTCTTTAATATAAAAAATATCCTCAACTACTACTGAAATTAAAGAAGTTTATATTAAGTCATACAGATTGCTTTTCTTGCAGCCTTTAAACATGGAACCTATATCAGATATAGTGTAGTGTTTACAAAATGCAAAGGGTATTGAAGGATTCTTTTTGTCTTTATCTAAACCATATGAAGTGAAAACTTTGTTGGAATACATAATTTTACATAAAATTAGTAAATAAGAAATTGAATACACAAGCATGCGAAATTCTTAGAACACTTACTCTCGAATCTCTCACTAACCACGCCCTCTTTGGGTTTGGCTTGTACATTTGCAGTCTTCACATTTTTCTCAAAGTTCTCGAAGGCCTTCTTATCAGCATTTTGTTTTAGGAAAGTGTCTGAAATCATATAAATTAGAGCTGTACATCTTTAGATATAGAATAAAGCAAAATTTCCTGTAAAGATATTCTTAAGAGATGTAATTAATAATTTTCATCTGTAAAATATATAATTTAAGTATGATTTCAGTGTATATCTAACTTTCCAATACTGATAATTTTCTGTTACCATTTTTCTGCAGTTCCTTGGCTTTGTGAAGAACATCTTTTGCATTTTTGTTACTGTCTGGGACATGCTGTTTGATAAAACTGGAAATCACTTCCCATCTGTAAATAAAACCAAAAAAAAAACTATAGAGTGAGCTTTCAAAAATGATACTTTGGAATCGTATTAATTGGAGGGGGGAGGGGTCAATGTGAGTGGGCAAGAAAAATGTTACTGGTTCATGTGGGTAACATGTATATACAAAAGATTCAAAGTATCAATATTTTTACAAAGTTTGCTAGTGATGATGTAAATTTATAAATATTAGAGTGTTCTGTCTCCATTATGTCCAATCAGAATATTTACCATTGGTTACATACCTTATCAACAGAAAATTTGATTGGGTGGGGGGGGGGGGGGGGGGGGGGGTCTGTGAAAGTATTTAAACTTATTCATATTTACTTTGACAATTTAATAATGTCTTTATAAACAAAGAAGTGCATTTCTTAATTCAATGTGAGGTTTTTTAACAAACTTGATAAGTGAAGCATGGGATGACAGTCACCACAGTATCATGCATTTCTAAAGCTATTACCATTTCAGTACCACCAGAACTGGACATCAGACTCAGGGTTCAAATGCTGTAACCATGAGCCATGAATTTTACAATTTATGTTAAAGTTTAAATACTCATTATAATTGTGCAATGTTTACCTCATAGATGTACATGAGAAAAGAAGATTTTTCCATGTTTCATGCATTTTCAATATACGAACAATTTTGTCCCACTCTGGGATCTGAATCAGGGGCTAACAATTTTTATCAGAGCAAGTGTTTATCATTATCATGTAAAAAATTTGCCTGTTAATGCCAACGTAATATTTTCAATACATGACCATAACTACCATAATGCCTGAAACCATGTACCAAGGGGACTTGGTTTCCACAGTTTTGGTAAAAAAGGATGAATTGTAAATTAAGCAAACCATTTGCCTGGTAGATGTCAATTAGTAAAAAAAGAAAGGTTTTGAATATTCCTTAAAAACCATCTCCTTTATTCATATCCATTCCCATAAGGCCCAGGGGAGTCAGAGACCATGAAAATTTATAGTTTATTATAATTTTAAATATGATTTAATATATAATACATGCTTATTTTTACTTATCAATTGATGATATAATAATGCCCAAATTAGTTGATAATGGTACAGCTGTTCTGGATTGGAAACTAAAAATGTTTAACAGTTTACATTTGAGGGACAATGAAAACAGCACGACACACCTGAAAGTCTCATGTGACTTTGTTGTTAAATGATTTTTCTTGAATTAAAATCATCAATTGAAATTTATTTTCAAAAATTCAATAAACTGCATTAAAAACCTTTTCTTTACTTTTTTCAAATCAATACTAGGTTCAGCAACTGAAAGATTTCATCAGTTTTTACTTCAATAATAAATGTTTTATTTCAAATAACATTTTGATTCTAAATGAAACCACAAAAATAATAGATAGAATGTTATATTCCCATTTTCAATGTCAGTTTTTGCATATCTCTGCTCAAATATACATAATATTAGTTTTATTTTGTCATAGATTAGCATATTTTATATATTTATGCCTCATCTCAAAGTCCAAAAAGCTGTAAGTAAAAAGATATTGAAACTTGAACTTCAACATCAAATCCCCCAAATTTTGGAAAATTCGGTTCGAACTTTGCAATTCTTAGGCGATGATGTGTAGAAAAGAGTAAGAAGTATCTCAGTAACAAGGATGTCTATGTACACTACTTGTATGAAAAAGGTCCACGTGTAAGGGCATGAGTTGGCCCCAAGACCATATTAAACTGAGAACAGACTTAAGCCAAAATTTCAAATTAATTTAACTTTTGAAATAATTTTGATAATGAAACAAAATTTTCATCATATCTTTCAATTCGAACGTTATACAATCCTTTAAGTTTTTAAGCACATATATGTTAAATAAAACTCAAGATATTCACAATCTAAATTTTGACTAAAGTCTGTTCTAAGTTGTCTCAAAGCTTGATGATTTAGGTCTTTTAGGAAGCTCTTTCATTTTTAGGCTAAGGGAGAATATATCAATATTAAGTAGTACCTCTCTTTTGTCCCTGCAGGGAACAGATTGACTCCTTTAATCATGCACTGAATTTCTGACTCCAGCCACGTTTTTTTAGAACCCTGTGAGTTATCTCCCCCTGACTGTTTCTGTACGGCCTCCAGGTGTTTTTGTTTCTCTTCCTCAATCTGTTTGTTCAGCTCTTCAACCTACACACATGTATTATAAATAACATTTAGAACAACAATTTCACTGGTGGACTTTATTATGTATCTTTTATGTTTATTTACTTCCATAACATTATCAAATGTCTACAAACTGCTCTTCTAAGCAGATACTAAGCTCTTTGGATCACAGTGTGATCAAATTAAAAACTAAGCTTTTGTCTGTGACTGTATTTGTTGAACTCAGTTAAATTTTACTGACTGCTGAGGAAAATGCCTCCTTTGCTTTTTGTCCTCCATCTGCTGCCATGGCTTCATTAAGTGACTGTAACCTGAAAGATGAGAGAAAACAATGTAGATCTACTGCAAACCTGGTTAATGATCTCCATTTATATACATCTGATACAGCCGAATTTTGGAATCTTGAACACTGATGAATCGAGTACCATTGATATGTTGAAGTTATATGGAACTCCCAACCAACTAGTCTTTTAGTATTTTACCCTCAATATCTCAAATTCAGATATATTGAGCAGACGTTTTTTCTCGGTCCCATTGAGTTTGAGATAAACAGGTTTGACTTTATATGAAAAAAGTCTCGTCAAGAACTCAGTTTTTCTTGGACTTTTTAAATCTCTATTTCCTACATTGTATAATTCACATCCCTATCTGACGTGACTATTTTATTACTTTAGGAGTGAGAGTTGGTCTGCCAGTCTTTCTACATCTGCCATGTTGGTCACTCTCTCATCTTCTTTTTCAGTGAAATAATTCATATCCTGTTAAAAAAAAAATCAAGAGCTCTTTCACCAAGATACTTGCATTTTATTCTAGAATATTTAAAATTACAACATGACCTTAATTTTCTGGAATCCACTTCTCAAATAAATCAATAACCAGCGAGTGAAAAAAAAACCCCAGACTATTATCAATTTTTTTTACATGCTGATCACTGTAAATATATATACGTAGATTTCATTATGGATACAAACCTTTGCTACTGTTCTCAATGTTTTGCGCTCCTTTTTAATTAACTTTTTCTGTGCTTCTTTTTCTTTTTTGGCAATTGCAGCCTATTGAAAGAAAATGAAACAACTATTAAGCAATTAAGGCTTAATATATGTCTAAAGTAGGTGTCTAATAAAAATCAGGTATTCTTCCTAACATATATACAACTGGCAGATAAAATAAAATCTCTCCAAGATATATCTGTTTCGTTATAATGACAGACTACCATGTACATGTATTCTGAAGAAATGTATTTTTTTCTTTCCCAAACATTCAGCATATAGCCCAAGAAAATGAAAATAATTAATACAGAGAAGAATTATCTCCCCTTTTAAGAGAATGTAAAACATTATTTTCTTTCTTTTACAAATATGCTACATACTTTATACAGAAAATTACACTCTAATATATTTTTTTGTATATTTTATTTGTAAGCAATGAAAAGACTCTTCTTGACATGTTTTATTAAATACATGTATTTATATTATGCATTAATTAGCAAATTTTGAGCTACTAAAGGTCTTTTTTCTGCAACAAAAGGAATTTCAAAATTTTCTTTGAGCACCAAAAAATTCACATAGAGCAATTATAAGCCTATATTGGTCTTTTAATGATGAATCATATGTCAAAAAAATATTTTAAACACACACTTTTGGCGTGGCATATCACCAAAAACTGATGGCAGCCCGGTATTTCTTGCATCACTCACCTGAGCTTTTGCTTCTTCTTCCTCTTTCTCTTTTTTCTTTCTTTCCTCTTCTAATGCTTCTTGTTTTATCTGAAATTAAAATCTCATAGAGTTGGAGTGAAACAAAAAATTATGCTTATTTGAGACAAAACACTATTCAAAATAAAAAACAATCTATTTTATTTAAGTTAAATGTCCTTTTTATAGATGCTCACCCAAATCTTTTAACCCTCCCCCTCCCAGTCACTCAATGTCTAATGCCCCCTTTCTGTTACTGCCTCACAACCCCCTCTTCCCTCCCTCTAAGCCCCTCACCCTCTCCTCCTCCAGGGCCTTCTGCCTAGCAGCTTCCTTTTTGGCACGTTTCTGAGCTTCCTTTTTCTCTTTCTCCTCTTCCCGATACCGTATCACACGGGGATCACAGGCATACGCATTATCTGTAAACATACGTATCTCATACAACAAAGAGATGAAAAATATATATACCAGGTATATTAAAATTAAGTAACTAAATTGCAGAAAAGTTCTTAAAAACAATGTGACTTATGTACGTGTATTTCTTCACCTTTTGAGTTGAATAGTAAGAAACACTTAATCAACGTAATTTCAAGTTATAAACAGGTATTAAGATTTCAAAACAGGTATGACATTCAAATAGACATAGGATTTCTAAAGCTTGCTTTGCATGACATCTCATATTTACTGACCCAGTAACTCTCTTATGCATGTTGCACTAATTCTCTGATACTAATGACCCACTGTTTGATACACGTACTACTGACCCCCAAAAAAGTCCGATACAACTGACCCACTAATTGTCTGATCCGAGCCATTTCCTCCTTTTTTAACCTCTGTCTGGCTGCTTTGTTTTGTTTCTCTATCCACCTTCTCTCTTCACGACTACAAACAACAAAGTGTTACCCACAGTGTAGTTAATGCTGTAAATTTATTTCATTTTGATGAATTTTTCCTCAATTAATACACATTTTTAATTCATAGAATTAATATCACTATACTTACTTCTCTCCCTTTTCTTTCTCCTCCTCATCTAAATATGAATACTCTCTCCAGGAATCAAAATCATACCTGTTAAAGAACAGTAACAAAATAAAATATCAAAAAATTTAAAAGTTCATGTAAAATGGAGAAAGAAACAATCACTCTGGGATCGTCCAGACCTTTGAACAAGCCTGTACAATAGCATTTTACATGTTCATTTCCACAAGAAATTTTCACAAAGTAGAGATTTTCGTGATGTAAAGGAGAAGATAAAAATTTTGTCTGATTAAATCCCATATTGATTGCATTATTTTCAAAAGTATACAAGGAAAATACTTTTTGGTCACACCAAACTAAATGAAACCTGGTTTATCTTTCAACACTAAATATACAACAAACAGGATTTCAAAAAAGGGCAATTTCACAAATTACACATTTCTTCCACAAACAACACAGTTGACCTTCAATGACTTTGTGTTTAGAGCAGAGCCTAATTCATTAATTTTGTGGCAGTGAAATCAAGGATAAGCACCTGAGTTATCTTTGCTAAGGAATGGTGCGGAAAAAATAGACAGTTTTATGTGCACATCTGTCCTTCTTGTGAATAGCCTCCCTTAACAGAAAGAACAGAATTTATTGACATCTTTTTAAGAAGTGGAACTAAATACTATAAATATAGTGTTCCTTACCAGAATGAATAGAATTTATTGACATCTTCTATAGAAGTGGAGTCTGTCCCAAGACCTGGAACTATCCTTCGGTTGCTCCATCTTAAATGAAATAAGAACAATCAAGAGAAATTGTGGTCACATATATATATACCATTTATATATATATATACCATGTATATATATATATATATATATATATATATATATATATATATATATATATATATATATATATATATATATATATATCAAATCTTATATATTTATAAATTTATAAACTGTGATTTAAAATTAACAAGCCCATTTTTGCGCTTTATTACAATGACATAAACTCAACCCCTGTATATGTTTGGGTCAATGATAAAATAATTTAACCCTCAAAAATAGTCAATAATTGTTTAAGATACAATTTCACATCTTGCATAAAAGTGATAGCTCATTTAAAACATACCTTGAATTCCTTTCAAAAACCGGGCCAAACACTTTAAAGAAATTTTTCTTTGATTCATCATCAACAGACGGCACATCATCATCAAACTGTGGATCCACACTGTCATACGACCGCCGCTTTGTTTTGTTTCCCAAAATTTCATATGCTTTAAAAATAAAACTACAGGTATATCATAAAGTACACTTAAAGGAAATATCTAAATTTTACAGGCCTATAGAGTAAAAAAAAACCAAACTGGGAACATCTATCCACACTCAAAAACAAGAGATGTTTGTGAAATGCTTATGCACCCCCCCCCCCCCCCCAAATAATTGGAATTTTACTAAGTCCAAGGGGCATAAATCTGTCAAAAATTGCTTGATTGTACCCAAAACAGAATTTGACCTAGATATTTTTATGATAAATCTGTATACCAAATATCACTTCAGTATGTGCAACCTCTGGGAAGAAAATGATTGGTGTTGGTGGACAGACAGACAGACCGACCGACAGCAGCAAAGCAATATGACTTCCCTTCTTAGGAGGAAGGCATAAAAAAATTATCTAGTCTCATTTTTTTAAAATATCCTGCAAATGTTTTTAAAGAACATGAAATGCAGTATCCCAGTTAACCTGAAAATCTAAATTTATTGCAACATTTTATTTTTTAATACAAAATTTATAATTTGAAAATTTCTGTGGTTCTTTTTTTTTTATAGATTTAAAAACTATGTAATTTCTTCTTGCATTCTGATCTTGAAACCTAAGAAACATTTGCCTTGTGAATAGTTGCATTTATTAATACTCATAAAATACTTCTATTTTTAAATGAAGGAAAGAAGAGATAAAAAAATCTTAATAGGTCAGACTGACTAATTGCATCATTAAGTACATTGCAGGCTATGATCTGTGATAAAAGAAGGTAGCTATGAGTTCCTTAACCCTTGTAAATTACTTACAGTTAGAAGAAGAATCAAAGGAATTTTCTAAAATTCAGACAAGTTACTTTTTCTTCCCAAATGATTTTAATACCTCTTGTAATACATGTGAAATAATCATCCTCTCCATCTCCGACCTTTAACCCCCTGGCTTTCCTTTTGTCTGGATGGTGTTTTAATACCATACTTTTATCTGAAGTGCAGATGTAAAATTTAAGTAAATATTCCTATAATTTCCTAAAACTTAAATATACATGTATTTTCTGCTACCATATTTTGGTTATTACGATATTTCAAATTATAATATCAAGTTGCACAAAAAATAAGGGTACATTTTCTGATGGATTAGTATCTTGAGAAAGCTTCAGAAACACAATTTGCTTACAAGCTTTTTTGATCTGGTTTTCTGTGGCCTTATATCTGATTTTACTCAACCCTAGAACTGCATAATGATCTTGTTGCTATAAAAAAAAGAAGAAATAAAGTAAATTTTCATACTGATCATGTGTTGATTCTGGTAATTAAATTTTTTTTTGGATAAATTCCTTTTCTTTTGTCTTACGTTAAATTTTTGTAAATCTAAAGTGAAACAGCAATACTGAAGTTGATTCTGGCAAATTTTTGAAAATCCATGGATGGAAATGAGTGGTCATTTCACTCAAATCCAATTACTTTTATTATATAGGGCATATGTAATGATCATAAGAGCTAGATCATTTTGATCAGCTTTTGCTGAACGTATCTATATATATCCCAACCTTCCATTCTTTGGGGTCCAGTCCTTGTAATAGGGCTGAATTATCCTCCTCCTCTATCTCTTCATGGTCACTCTCCTCGCTGCTGGAGCTCTGCAGCGAATGGTAGGACAGGGAATGCTTGTGTCGTCTACGTAAACACAGCGCTTCAAACCAACGTCCAGCTGGTTCAAACGAGGCTTTTACTGGTGCTGTTTGAAGAAAGCAGGTTTTGTTATGATATGTATTTATAATGACTGGATTTATTTTTTCACAGTAACCAAGGTTCTTAGGGCAGTCTAAACTTCAATGGTTTAAACCAGTCTGTGACAATGAATGCATGATAAAGATATTGATCTAATTCATTGAAAACAAAAAGAAAATATTGAATGTTATTTACATTTATTATTATTAGATCAAATGACATAAATTGTGCTCGCACTATTACTCAGACTTAGTAACAATCCACATTCAGTTCGAAATTCCTCGAATTTATATCACCACTTTAAAATGTTTCGATGGGATTCAAACATTAAAAATTACCTGACAACGGTGCTACAACTGATGTAACAGCATCATCTGAAGCAGGTAAAAGAAACATAGTCCTACTAAATATTGTAATCACATGTGCCGACAAAAATACGCAGAGAAAAACATGTGAGCCACCGAAAACAACTTTACCGGAAGATGTCTGCTCATCGGGATCGGAATTTGCTTAAAGGCGCGGATCTTAAAAGTATGGGTTATGTCAGGACCGTCCTGTTCATTTTCCGATATTAATGAAGTTGACAAATATGCAGGGATTCATTTTTCCAGACACTCGTTATTTTTGTAGGAAACTAATTCTTTCATACTTGAACGAAAATACCCAGAAACTCACGAGTGGATCTGGAGAGGATGTCAGGGAGTCTGGATCCATAATTAATAAATCTAACGTTATGTAGTTTACTAACTTGTCTGATAAGACATAATTTTAGTGCAATGCGGTGTTAAATGTATGAGAAAACATATATTCAAAAAAAGTCTTCGGAACTCAATGAAAAATTAGTAAAATTGAGGTCTAAATCAAACTGAACAAGATGTGTTTGTGAAACACTCAATGCCCCCGTATGGCAACTTATAGCAAAGGTTAAACTTTCTAAAATGCAAATAAAATATGTTGGTACCAAAGATAAGGTCTTGTCTCTAGTAATAATTTATACCTGTGAAGTATGAACCCCCTAGCAGGAGCCATTGAATAGATATATGGAAAAGGTTAAAGTTTTTTTCAAAAGTATGTCGAACATCAAGGTCAAGGTCAAAATTAATGGTGCCCAAGGAAAGGCCTTCTCCCAAGAAATAAACAGGTGAAATATGAAGCCGAAGCACCAATCGTTCAAAATTATGACCAAGGTTAAAGTTTTTCAAAAGTAGATCAAACTCCAAGGTAAATGTCAATGGATTACAATTGTTGGTATCCAAAGGAAGGCCTTGTCACAAGGTATAGACATGTTAAATATGAAAGCCCTAGCACCAACTGTTCAAAAGTTCTGTCCAAGGTCAAAGTTTTCCAAAAGTAGGTCATACTCCAAGATCAAGGTAAAAGTTTTTGCTATCCAAAAGAAGGTCTTGTCACAAGGATTACGTATGTGAAGTATGAAAGCCTTAGCACCAATTGTTCAAAAGTTATGGCCAAGGTTAAAGTTTTTCAAAAGTAGGTCAAACTTAAAGGTCAAAGGGTCAAAGTTGATGGTATCGAAAGAAAGGTCTTGTCACAAGAATTACATATTTGAAGTATTCACCATGAAAGCCCTAGAACTAACTGTTCAAAAGTTATGACCAAGGTTATTGTTTTTCAAAAGTAGGCCAAACTCCTAGGTCAAGGTCAAAAGGTCAATGTTGTTGGTATCCGAAGGAATATCTTGTCACAAGGATTACACATGTGATGTATGAAAGCCCCAGCACCAATTGTTTAAAAGTTATGGCCAAAGTTAAAGTTGGGTTAAATTTTGCAAAATTTGGTCAAACTCCAAGGTGAAGGTCAAAGTTTAAGTTGAACGCAGCTTTGTTAAGTTGAAGTATAAGGGATGAATACCCCCAGTCTTTGATGTATCTACTGCTATCTTAAAAGAAATAAAGAAGACATGGTGCGATATACTTGTCTACTAAACCCTCCGCCGCGCAGGGATACTAATCAAACTAAAAATAGTTTAAATGCAAAACTGAAAGGTTCTTCAATGGATACTTCTAACTACTAGCGGGGTGGGGTATGATGGGGTACTTATGTCGGAGGACTCTTCAAAAATCAAAATTGTGTTGAAACGTAATTAAGCATCCACCTATCTTAAACCAGAACCAAATAATAGTATTTCTATGTGCCTACACTCTTCATTCAACACACCTCAGTCGGTAGAGCGCTCGCACCGTGATCGAAAGGTCTTGATTTCGAATCTCGGCCACGACTGACCTAAGTCGATAAAAAATAGGTAGCAACTGTTCTTTCGCCAAGCGCTCGACACTTTGAAGTGAAAGTTGCGGGTCCTTCGGATGAGACCTTAAAAACCGAGGCCTCGTGTCACGTTAGGCGTTGGCACGATAAAGAACCCTCACTGCTCAAATGCCCTGAGTGCCGAGTAAAGGTCTAAATTTGAAGCCTTTCATCGGTATATGTTGACGTCTCTAAATGAGTGAAAAATTCTCGAATGGGACATTAAACAACATACAATCAATCAATCAACAATCATTCAACACACACCCGGAACTCCAAAGTGCTTCAGTGTGTGTCATCGCTTGAAGTTCATTGAACTGTTGCACTTTTTCAATGAAAATAGTTAGATGTTTTGAGTTGCTGAATGACGTTCACACATACCTACGTCATTAGTGTTAGCAGCAGTAGCAATGGTCTTAAAGTGAATAGTTCTTAGCTTGACTTAAATAGTCATTTCTTACATTTAGTTGCCCAAGCAGTAGCTTGTTTCCCTGGCCTTCCCATAATCGAAGCTTCGATTGCGCAGCATTATAGGAAGGCCAGGAAAACAGGCTACCCGAGAAAGGACAAATTGGCATTGTTATTTAAGTACTTGTGTTGACAAAAACAAGTGAATAACTTTTGAATCCTCGCTTATTTTTTGATGATCATTTTACTCAAAATTGAAAGAAGTAATATGAACGTTGACTAGAATTATTGCTTACTACGATATCATGCCTGGTAATTTCAGCAATCAAACAAGACAGAATGATGATTTCACAATTAGACAACAGTATGTAAAATAATGATTCTAATTGCCATCATGTTTTTTTATTAACATATTTATTATATTTTTTCAAATAGGAACATTCAACCAATTAGAGTGGAGTTCATAAGTTTTAAAAATAAGTAATGATTTATTGCATTTCAGTCACTGTGAACTTGGGAGTAAGTGGTATATCTCTGACGTCACTGTGGTCAGCTTCTGTACCACTTTTCAAAACAAATAATATTAACTGTCTTAGGTTACAGTCAACAAATTAAATATACATACAATATATCTGTGTCCATTAATCAGTTAATTTTTTTTATCTGTATATGATACGGACCAATTCAAAATAAACATAAGGTTTTTTTTATTTAGTTAGATAACACTGCTTATCAATAATCCAGTAAAAATTTAATTTATTGACGTAAATTATCATGGCTAAGCAATCACACATTTTGTTTTTGTTGCTGCTTTGGATATTTTTAGCTAAGGTACGTATAATTACTGTTGTTTCTAGCAATCCTTTCCTTACAACAAGATATTAGAAACCCCTCCAGTTTCCATTAATAACACTGAAAGTAATATACAACAGTTTCCATCATTCTTGGAACCACTCAAATAAAGAATTTTTTTTATTGAAATAAGGTATTCTGTTGTTAAAAGAATTCTTCGATCTCAGTGATTCTTTGTATTTATTAGCCCTGCAGATCCATATCAGCCCTGCTGAATCCGTATGAGCCCTGAAAGCTGATACGGCTATTAGAGAAATACCGACATCTTACGAACGAACGTAACTCGCCCTAACTTCCCGTATCTCGGTAGTTTTCCCGGGACCAGTTATTGCACCTAGTTTAAAATTAATAAATCAGAAAAATTAAGTATATGTGTATAATAGAAAGGACAGTATTTTAATGACTTTGTAAATGATAATTTCTCCTGTCTAATTTTCTGTAATCACTAACAATGTAATTAAAAGCGGACAAATAGTAGGAAATACGCCAAAATACCTATGATGGGTTAGGAAACACATTTGTCATGCGTCAGTGGTTATGCGTATATACTAGTGTGAGCTGTGTTCATTTGGGGAAAGTTACGTTTTATAGCATGGATGAAATTTAAACTCACACCCTGTATAAATCCATGCAAAGGCAACAAGTTACCAGGTGATGCGATTATATAGTGTCTTGTATTTAAAAGTGTACATTTATGTGCGAGAGAGAGAGAGAGAGAGAGAGAGAGAGAGAGAGAGAGAGAGCACAATGGACAATAATTGTTCTAATGAATTATACAATGTAGCATTGTTTTCTAACTTTTCAGAAATCAACCATTAAAAATCAGAAAATAGTTGGCACTTCTCCGGAAAACGTAATATGTTTAAAGTGGTCGTGCGTAGATGTTTGTATACTTGGGGAGGGAGAGGGGGTCGAAGCTCAACTAATCGAATTGAATGTCCATTTTCATTACATTTAACTAAATACATGGAATACTACGATCCATATACTACAAATCCTTATAAAAGTGGAATGGGGCAATACATGCATATGCAATATTTTTTTTCTATATCGTACAGTGTATCTAGTAAAAGAAAAAGTAATTTCATAAAGAAAGAAGGGTAGGGTTTTCTTTATGTGAAATATCACTTCAAAGAAATAAACGAGCATTCATATGATAGACAGTATCTTCTTGGATGATGTATTATGTTGCAATCTTCACTTAATTTATCTTTCGGCTGCCTTTCATGATATATGTTATATCTGTATAGATATGTGGATTATAAAAGCTGCAAATTATGTATTTGGGTAGGGTCACAGACGTAGCATCGTTTTTTTAAAGGGGGGGGGGGCAGCTAGAGAAAAAAATTCACCTTGCCTGAAAAAACCTGACAAGCAAAAAAAAAAAAAAAAAAAAGAAAAAAACCTTCTTTCTGTACCAATTTTTTTTTTCATATATTACTACATTAGCCTTATTTGACTGTACTGCAACAAAAGGGGGGGGGGAGGGGGCAACAAGCCTTTCAATGAACATTTCCAACAGTAAAAAGTAATGTGTGGAGAAGGCGGGGCAGGCCTCTCTGATGCTACATGTCTGCGGGTGGTGTATATTTATTAAATTTTCTTTGTACTCAAGCTATGTACCATTATGTCATTGTTTGTTAAGCATGCATTATTCGTCAGAACATAGAATTACAAGATACACTGTATACGTAAAGGGTACGAAAGCCTATTAGGATAAAACTACGGTAAAAAATATTTAAAAGGCGTTATAACGCCTTTTCACGCGGAAAAAGGCGTAATAACGCAAATAAAGGCGTAATTACGCCTTTGAAAAAGGCGTTATAACGCGAAAAAAGGCGTTATTACGCCTTTTAAAAAGGCGTTATTACGCCTTTCCAAAAGGCGTTATTATGCCTTTCAAAAAGGCGTTATTACGCTTTTTAAAAAGGCGTTATTACGCCTTTCCAAAAGGCGTTATAACGCCTTTTAAAAAGGCGTTATTACGCCTTTCTAAAAGGCGTTATTACGCCTTTCTAAAAGGCATTAATACGCCATTCAAAAAGGCGTTATTATGCCTTTTGAAGGGCCATTGTTATCATGTCTTTGACAGGTCCATGCTTATGAAGTGGGGGGGGGGGGGCTCCCATAAAATTGACAAGCAATCAAAAAAAAAAAAAAAAAAAAAAAAAAAAAAGAAGCATACCCCCCCCAAAAAAAAATAAACTGCCTAAACTTGAGGGGAAACTTTTTCTAACTTTTCGGTAAACCTCTTTTTAAATGCAATGACTTGCCTGAGTTTAACCATACTGCAACAAAATGTTAAGGGACCAAGCAATCAATAAATGATTTTTTATATTTAAACTATAGCAAGACTATTCTCCCAAAAAGTGGGGTGGGGGAGCCCCCCCCCCCCATATTCTTACTACTGGCCTGTTTGAAAAGAAGTTATATCCAAAAATGGAAAGGCATTATTTTAAAATAGTAAATATATGAAAGATTGAACCAAAGCCATCTTTATTTATGCAATATTTAGATTATAGTTATAATATTATAAATCATATTATAAATTATAGTATTTTCTATATTCCTGCACATCTCGCAGACAGTTGTTTGCATTTTGCATGCATATTAAGAGAAGTCAACACTCTACTTTTGAAAATCCAGGATATAGGCAAAACCAGCTTTGGGCTTTGCTAGCCACGTATTAAAAATTCATGTCAAATTTGAAATATTTTTCTCTCCTCTTGGAAAAAAAACAGGCAAACTATTTGCATAGGTATGATGAGCAATTAGCCTTCAACCAAATTTCTGAAATCCATGCACCTTGGTAGAGGCGTCTGGCATCAGAGAAGGACTAAGTTGGTTTAACACTGAAAATATTTTACACATTAAAAAATCTTTTTTCCTGGAAATCTAATTATAATCAGCCCCCAAGATGGGCTAAGTAAGTCATGTATTGAAAAAAACGAGGCGTAATAACGCCTTTTGGAAAGGCGTAATGACGCCTTTTACAAAGGCGTAATAACGCCTTTTTAAAAGGCGTAATAACGCCTTTTGGAAAGGCGTAATAACGCCTTTTGGAAAGGCGTAATAACGCCTTTTACAAAGGCGTAATAACGCCTTTTAAATTTTTTTTACCGTAGTTTGATCCTAATAGGCTTTCGTAGAAGGGTAACTTTGACCCCGCACTCAGAGTAATTTCGACCGAAGCTCTAATGTACAGAAAAAAAAAACTATAGTCGAAATTATAACTCGCGTCACCTCTAAGAAAAAAAAAATCCTTGATTTATTCAAGTATACTGACATAAAAGGTACTGTAGTTCTCTAAAGTGAATAGATTGAAGACATCAAGTGCATGACGCTGATTCACTGAGTTGTCAAGGCATGCTTCAAAGGTACCTGCACACACAGGCAAATAAACAGAACAGACGAGTTTTCACTGATTCTACTGATATTTTTTCATTTTTTAAAACAGTCATAAATTCTTTCTGGTAAAAGTAATATTGCTGCAGATTTATTTATTATTCATTAGTCGAATTAGAAACATACAATTTTCGTTTTTAAAAGTGGGAGGGGTTGGGAGAGCCAGAGAAAAAAAAATCGACTTACAAGAAAAAATCTGACAAGCAAAACAAAAAAAAAAACAAAAAAAAAAAACAAAAACAAAAACAAAAACAAACAAACAAACAAACAAACAAAACTAAAACAAAAAAAGGGGGTGAGCTTTAAACTCGAAAATCCTTTTTTCATGGGAATGGGGGGGGGGGGATCCAACTTTTTTCGGAACAAAATTTTCTTCATACATTATCATATAAAAATTTGGTCGGTAGATAGGTTATAAATTTTTTTCCAGAAAATGTCTACATTCTTATTGATGGAGAAAGAAAATTCAGGAGGAAAAATTATCGTTTCCTCAGTTTAAACAAGTTTTGAGTCGGGTCATTTTTAGCCAGTCAGTGAGGACAAAGAAACAATTTTTTAAAGATGGTCTAACCTAATTTGGTTGATACCACGTGTCTGGAAATTACTCACCGAAGCAGCATTCATGTGGACAGGGGTTACTAAGGCCAATTTCTGTTCAGCTGATTTAATTGCATTGCATTTTTCTTTGTAAAAAACTGAATATTTTAGAATGAGTGTGCAAGAGTTTCATTTACAAAAACATTCTCATATATGTCACGTCGGGAATGGCTATTGATTAATTTTCTACACAGATATTGTCAGAAGTGATAATTCCTTGTAATGGCTAAGAAAACTATCAGAATAAAATTAAACCCGGCTTCAATACACATGTACATGTATTATTATAGCCAATATACATGTACATGTATTATAGCCATATCATGAATCCGTGGAGAAAAAAGCCCGTTCGTAATTTTTCGGTTGATAAGGCTTCTTCTTTGATACATGCGATCCTTCGATGTAATTTTGCCCCAGTCTTTGCCCCCCCCCCCCCTTTTCAGCTCTTTGATTTTTTTAAAATTAAATATTTCGGATTTCCAACGATTCAGCATGAGCATTTCTGTAGATTCCTACATATACGCGAGGAATAAATTATCGCTTAATTACGCGAGAAGCGCCACTCGCGAAATAAAATTAGTCGCTTTTATTTTTATGGTGCTTTACTGTATGTAAAATCTCCAGATAAATCACCTATTCGCGAATTATTGTTCTCGCGATTTGACGCCCTTCGGCCATTTTGTGATATTAAGTACTCGCGTAAAATAAGGAATCTACTTAAGAGACATATTTTGTTTAAAGAGACACTGTGACGGACTAACTGGAAAACTGACAGATGTAAAATTTTTGCAAGACACATGCAGATTTAATTCAATTTTTGAAAGTATTAGGTTTAAGAAAATTACAGGTTTCAGATCCTAAAAAATCTACTTTTGTGCAGAAAAGTATATGCAAAAAATAATTTTAGTTTGCCCCAACACGAAAAAGAAAACTTAAAAGAAATACATGATATTGACTCACTATGTAACTTTAAATGCGCATCTGATGCATCAAAATTGGCATCGTATATGATTTACATGTGCAAAGTTTAGCCAGTAGCATGAACAAAAAGGCCATTGTTTTATGTTTATTTTTTTTAACTCTCCCTCGCCCTCTTTTTCGTTTTCGTAAGACAGAATCTTTGACTTCTTGCTTTAAAATGAGACATTTTTCCTTTTCCTTTTACAGGTGTATTTCCCTTTTCGGAACCCCTTTGCTCGTTTAAATGTCCATTGAAATGTATTGTAGCGTCACAGAAGCGACTACGACAAGAAGTAGTTTTGAGGTATCCTGCGGGGATTTTATCTTTTGAAATCTCAATAACATTGAAGAATTCAATAATGCAAATGTGAATACAATGAACGATCCCCCTTTTTGGTTACGTTCGTTCGTAAGATGTCGGTATTTCTCTATTGTGACGTCGGGCATATCGTATATGTAAAGAAAAACCTGTATTTATAACTAAGTATGTAATATATATATATTATACTCTTCATAGCTGTAACAGTTTATATATTTATACATTTCAAGGTTGCAGTAGGGAAGATAACTTTCTTCATTCACATAGACGAAGTGAAAAGTCCGGGCAATAAACTTCACGGAGGAGGATGTTGTCAGGGTGTGACGGGTACACACTGTACCAAGTTATGTAAACCTGTACTCACCATATGCCTTAAGTGAGTGATGTTTGACTTTAAAATGTTAAAATCAAACTAGAGCCGAGCTCGTTGCAAAGCAACGAGTAGGTCTTCCGTTGGAGCTGCAGGCAGGAAGAAGTGACCTTGAGTCAAGGTCATGCCATATCATAAGGTTATAAGCAATCTTGTAAGAGGTATCAACTAACAATGTTTCACTCTGTAGTATAAAGACGATAAAGGAATGCATGTGACCTTGAACTTGTCCAAATGACCTTGCGAAAGCCATGACACACTCTGGTTATGAGCAAACCCCATCTGTGTATTACTAACTTCTCAAATTCACTCATGTTCATACAGTCCATACATCCAGTCAAAATATCTTATCCTTAGTGACCTTGAACTTGAGTTTAGGCCATGTCACACTCTGCATGATACCAACAATGTTTCACTAGAAAAAGACGGTAACGAATTTAAAGCTTCTCATCCAAACTCATCCAAATGACCTTTCATCAAGACCATAACACACACTGGAATCCCAATCTGTGAGTTATTGACTGGATAAGGTTAGCCATGTTCTTTCAGACCATAGATCGAGTCAAATAATTTATCAGGTTCCACACAATGATTTAAAGATTCATTGTGAATGTTTTTGTCCAGTTTGGATATTGAACAAGACGTGTTTGTGAAACACTGATGCCCCGGTATTGCAGCTTATGGCAAAGGTTTAAGTTTCTCAAATCCGTATCCAACTCCAAGGTCAAAGTCAAGAGATAAGAAATTATATTACCCAAAGAAAGATCTCGTCTCAGTGAATATAACTGTGAAATATGAAATCGCTATAAGACTAACTATTGAAAAGCATGGCAAAGGTTAATTTTTTTTTATACTCAAGTCAAATGTTAAGGTCAAGGATAGATTAACGGTGTCCAAAGGAATGCCTTGTCATAAGAAATAGACATTGAAATATGAAAGCCCTAGCGTTAATTATTCAAAAGTTATGACAAAGGTCAAGGTTTTTTTTTTCAAATGTAGGTCAAACCCCAAGATCAAGGACAAAAGTCAAAACTGTCGGTACTCAAGGGAGGGTCTTGTCACAAGAAACACACATGTAAAAATACGAAAACCCTAACATCAACCGTTGAAAAGTTATGAATGAGATTAAAATGTTTCAAAGGTAGGTCAAACTCTAAGGTCAAAGGTGAAAAGTCAAAACTTTTAATTTTTTTTTAAGTACGTCAAACTCCAAGGTCAAGGTCAAATAGTAAAAATTGTTGATATCCAATGAACAGCGTTTTCACAAGGAATACACCTGTGAATTTGAAAACACTAGTCCCAACCGTTCAAAAGGTCAAACTCCAAGGTGAACGTCACAAGGTCAAAAATATTTATTCCAAAGAAAATGTCTTGTCACAAAAGAATTTCGGATGTGAAGTATGAAAGCCCTAACGCCAACTGTTCAAAAGGCTAAATTTTGCATAGTTGGTCAAACTAAAAGGCTGTAGAAAGGATAAGAGAGACTCCGAGATATTCAATCAAGTAAACTTATGATATTGCAGATCAAATAAAGCATGAGCTATAAGAGCAGGCACGTAGCATCAGCCTCCCCCTTTTTTCAGACCTAATTTTTTACTTTAGTAATGTTCATTGAAAGTCCCGTTGGCCCCCACTTTTTGTTGCAGTATTGTCCCGTTGTCCCCACCCCTTTCTGCCAGGAAATAGGATTCTGGGCTATTTTCCTATTTTGGTTTTGCTTGTGAAGTCTTTTCAGGTAAGTTAATTTTTTTCTCTGGATGCCCCCCCCCCCCCTTTTCAAAAACGATGCTATGTCCTTGAAAAGTAACATGTAGAAATGTCTGTCCTGGCATATGTTATAGTGTTATAATCTACAGCCTAACTTTGCACTTAAACCACAAACACATACGTGTAGTACAAAATAATGATAAAAATAGAAATAATCAGTAATATTTAATTATTAAGATAAAGAATGAAAATAATACAAAAAATTCTATATTACATATATAGAGAGATTGTCAATCAAATGGCATGTTCAACGCAATAGCAGCAATAAGAAACTCGCCGACAGTTTTTTTTTTTTAAAATTCCAAATTGCTTTTTAATTTCTACAGATATTTATAATCCTTTCAATGTATGTTTGTGGATTATTGATGGAATAATTTTAGTTACATGTCAAGTTTAATATTATGGTGTTTGTGCTTTGTAGCAAGGATTTGCTAAATACTTATAATTTTCTATAATTGCACCGAAAAGTAGATACATGTTTTAAAGCAGAGCTGCCGCTCAAGCTTTATTTCTGTCGTGTAGATCTAGAGGTCTTTGTGTATATATCATAGGTAAAAGTACCAATACCGATGATCACATCCCTTCAAAGTTATATTATTCTTGCTTATTACGCCCCTTGCAGTGGCAGATCCAGGAATTTCATAACGGGGGGGGGGCAAAGTAGAAGGCAGGGGAGGGGTCGGGGGGCTGCAATGAAGCCCCCAGAGGGTCTATAACAAAGCCCTGGTGGGGATCCAGGGGCGAAGCCCCCAGAAGTTGACAAATTCTTACAAATAAGAGATGTTTTTTCCTTGATTTAAGGATAATGGACATATAAGTTCTACATACAAAAAATTCGTAAACGGAACGGAAGGAGGGGGGGGGGGGGGCGTGCGCCCGGCGCGCCGGCCCTAGATCCGCCTTCGCTGTTTTTTTTTTTTTATTTTATACATGTAGTTATGCACTTCACCAACCCTTCTTGTGTTCAAGATGTTTCAGTCGTTTGTTTGCATTATAACTTAACAAGAAGTCCGTGATTTTTTGTGTGAAGTTTAGTTTTTAAAATTCCGAAAATGACAGGCTAAAAGGATATTTATTATTGATGAAAATAATGAAATTGGTAATCAAAGTTCAAAATACACGTGCGGTGGCGATATTCAAAATTGACAGGAAGTCGGTTGACTTTTTAATACACTTAAAGATGGTGTCAAGAGGAAAGAGTTTGAAAGGTTTGATAAATACACACATGCATCACAGAGTTGACCAATATGAATGCATTAAGATCAGGTCACGTGGTAAGTACCTCTATCACAATAATTGACACGTGGAGCACCCGCATTGATTTCTTATAATTAAGTTAAAAATTTATTTAAAAAAAAAATGAAGATATTAGTTAATAAAAGTTTTATTAATTATTTATTATTTAAACTGTAATGGTTTGGGTCGTGGATATCGGCCTGGGTAGCTCAGTCGGTACAGCACCTGACTAGTGATGCAGGGGTCCCGAAGAAAATTAAAGAATATTTGTTAAAGGCACGTGTATAGTCAATCAGATTAGAAATACAGCGACTATCAGAATTCCGGGCCGTAAAAAAGATCTGATTTTGATTAGATCTCAGGTATAGGCGAATGTGTGTGTACTGAAGGGGTTAGTTAATTCATTCAAGATTTATTATATTGTTCGTTTGGACGAAGGCTTCATAAAAATATACACACTGCCTGTACAGGTACACTATACCGATACACATCAATGAACGTTCGGATTAATTCAAAAATCGGCGGACATTAATTTATTTTAGTTATCTAAAGGCAATGTTATTTCCAGAGACATTAATATTTTCTGTTTTTTATGTCTCGGATTTTTCTTTTTTGTGATTTACCGGTTTACAAAGGCCTGTGTTTTAACAGCTGTTCATAAACGCTGTCAATTAATATATGATCAGAGAAAACGAGACATCTCCCGGTAATTTATTTCTTATGGAACATATATGGATTGACATCTTAGCATTTACCTGTGTAATTACGATGTTACAAACCGTGACGATGACTGGCCAGGAGGACTACCCGTTATAAAAACAACTCATGATCAACTCAGCGGACCTATAATTCACTTTAAAATATGCTGTAAATCAATAAAATCATTTCAGTGTAGTCGATATTTTATTGCAAAAATAATGAAAAAAATACGGGATTTAGAATTTTTCTGTATTTCAAACTCTCGATATGCATATATTTGGGGCGCTCTTGCATATGCACTTATAAAACGTGCATGTTCTGTGCTTGCATGCGTGTACATTGTATGTGTCCGTAAAACCTTAAGAGAGCTGATAAATGTGTTCTGATTTTCAGAAAAAATAATGGGAACCTATAAATAATTACACGTTTATCATATTGTTCGCATACAGTAACAAGTTAAGTAGAAAAAATAATTTGTTCAACATCGAGGTGCCCGCGGCTCTCTGTGGCCACGTGTATGTAAACGAGGACTGGACTACAACACTTAAGACACAAAGCGGCAGAGATGGATGAAACTGTTTGCTATATTACAAAGACTTGAATTATACTACATGTATATTTGAAGGAATTCTTATTTATGTTAATGTTTATTTAATTCTATAAATAATAAATGGACATTCACAAGAGTGATGGTAAAAATAATATGTGCGTAGCATGCGTAGTAATTACAATTATTTACCGAAGCCCCCATTCAATTACAATTGCAGATGAATTAAAATACAACAACACGGGATAGAGCAATACTTTTTTTAAATGTATTGTTGCGTGAACAGACAAAAACAGCGATTAAAATTCAAAATGATTTTTATGCACCAGTGTTTGGAATTAAGATATAAAAGATCGGTAAAGTAATCTTACTGATTCGATATAATCAAAAACATAACTTTCCATTAATTAATAGCTCTTTGTACAAAATTGACATCATACGCGATCACAAATACTAGCTTTGTTTATGGCCACAGGTGGCTAGTACACTGGTGACCTCGATCAAAGGCGTGGGATTCCTGCGTTGGGTTACATAACTAAACATCGAGCTGAACATGGAGACCGTAATATGCATACAGCTAATGATCGTGAATTATTCAATGCATACAGTTTAAAATCACTTACAAAGTTTGTTGTAATAATAAACGTAGAAAGATAGATTTAATATTCTCCGCTTTTGAACACTATTAATCTAATTTAAAAAAAGAAGAAAAGAAAGACTAGTTGTAATAAATAATTTAATAGTGAACCATAAACCA